TTTTTTTTTTTTTTTTATTTAAACAGTAAACCACTGAAGAACAAAGTCTATATGTGTGTCTCCCCTCTGGGTTCCACTCTGTCATATTCATGTGCTTCCCATTTTAACGGACAGCTCTGCTGTCACCATGGAAACGGGTAGCTTTTAGACAGGGCTGTGGATGAAAGAGGCTGTTAATGTCCCCTCCACTCACAAATGTGTTTTGTTTTCTTTGTTTGTTTGTTTGTTTTATACTCCATAAATGTTTGCCCTCCATTATACTGATTGGTGCTTGTGCAGGTGTATCACTATCAGGGTGTTTTCACATTGTTCTGCTGAAGGGGGCAGGTGTCTGTTTGCTCCCCTGGAATCTAAGATTAAAACTTGGAAATGCCACAAATCTGACAGCCAGTCACTGTTCACTGTGCAAATAACTGCATATTTCAGGAGTGCAGTGCCAAACCTGACACCTCTGGTCTCAGAGCAGCCAGAACCAACTTTTCAGCAACCTGGAGTGGGAACAAAAGTTGACAGCCAATATGTCAGTGCGCACAGTATTTGGATGTAAACTGAACTCCTTTTTACTATTCGTTTACTTTTTATCTTAGTTTATATGAGGCGTGCTGCTGTTGGAGTATTAAGTTTGGCTCTCTGGTAGTAGCCTAACTGAGTGCTAATGGTTAGCCAGCTGCTAAAAACACAGTTTTCTGTTAGCTTTTCATTAACCAGATTACATTTTGGATCAACTGTCACATACTATCAGACTCTCAGCCAGACTGTAAACACTTAAGCACAGGCTCCTGGTTGGTGTAGCACTAGAAAACTAGTTGTAGATGGTCACTGGAAAATAATTCAAATTTTGCTTTTTGATGCAGTATATCTTTAGATCTTCTCCTCAATTCCAGGGTTTTCTAAATTGTACAGTATCACATTTAGCATCTTTATGGTTATGATGTAGTCCTGACTAAATAACTTAAACTACTTTAAAAGGGTGCTAAGGTCCATGGACCCCCAGAGTCTGGTTGCATAGATAATGTATAGATTACTGTGTAAGGTCATTATATTATGTTAAATTAAGCATCTTAACTGTTCAACAATATATTTTAGGGCTAAATCAACCTACTGCAGTCATATGGTCAAACAACTCACAATGGGTCATCATGGGCCTCTATTATATTATGTGTTATTTCTTTGGGGTCAGTGGAAAATTCCATTGCTGCTCTCGATTGATGTTTCCTGAAAAACATGTTTATTTTTTAAGGAGTCTGCACAAATCTCCCTCCTCTCTGTCTGGCCATACCACCTCCTGGGGTGATTGACAGATACACTGACTGACTGGCTCGTCTGCCGACTGTCTGGAGGTGTGGATAGTTTTCTAAATGGATGGGTGAATGCTTGGCCGGATTGATTACCTGTCTGGCTAGCCATTTTTTAAATCTGAACCATGTCTGCTGGCAGATTTTGTAAATGGGCTTCCTGGCTAATTGAATTAATTATATTCATTGTCCTTGTGTAAATGACTGCCTGCTGACAACTCATCTGTGTGGCTGGCAGAAAACGGAAAGCCCAGCTCTGTTTGACAAAATGAGGAAAAAGAGGAGGGAAGGAAAGGGAAGGAGAGAGTGTGGATAAAGAAGTTGAAGTGCAGAGAAAGGGAGAAGTTATAATGAGTTATGTGGGCGTGATGGTGAAGTGTCTGCTCTCATCAGCACTCGGTCTGTGCTGTCCACATGGTGTTTTGGCAAGTGTATGTGCCCAAGAGGTCCAGAAGGGAGACACAAAGTATGTACAGTGTGTGTGTGTGTGTGTGTGTGTGTGTGTGTGTGTGTGTGTGTGTGTGTGGACCTTGCGTGATGTGGGGGTGAAGTCTGCTCATGTGCCAGACGGCGTGGACTGTGCCAGACTGATCAAACCAAAGTAAGCCAGTGCACCTGGCGCCATAAAACATTTCAAGCCACAATACAACATGCAGTACGATGGAACATCCACAACAAAGTGTGAGACCTCAGCTTTATTACAGCCACTTATTTCTTTCCAGTCAGGCCGCTTAATTCTCTTCATACTTAAAACTTGGACCAATATGTTACTGTGTGCTGCAGCACAGGGAATGCATGTCTGGGCTACTACACCAGGCTATGGAGCAGAACGATAAAGCCTGCCCAGCCAACTCTGTTCTTCAGCAAGAGTACGTTTCTTAAATTTTGACGTACGCTAGCTTCATCAGAACCAGCATTTTCATTTTCCTTAGTTCTGCTGGTTTTGTTGGCCACTACTGACACTTTACCATCCTTTAACCAGTTGATGCCTAAAATAGTTGAACACCAGTAATAACGCTCACCTGGACTTCTGCAGCTGTAAAGTGATTGTTTGTATTTGAAGCGTTTGAACTCAAATTAAGAAGGCCACCATTAATCAAAAGAAAGTAGCTTGTTTAGGTTTTAAGTGATACCGACCTATATTTAAAACATATGAATGATGAATTTAAGATAATCCTATTAGTGTCTTTATCAGCTGCTGAATAAGGGTCACATTTAATATGTATTGTTACCTCTTGCCCTGGAGGGACCATGTGATCAGTGGCCATGAGTAGCCAGGACACCTAATACTCCACTGAACCTGCAGCAGACAGAGGCTTGATCAACATTATTTTGGGCATACAGTAACAGACAAGGGATTAGATTGCACTGTTAAATAATTCAGTGGCATGTTTTGTGATGGGGGCTGGGCTTTATTTGGCAGCTGAATGCTTGTACTGTATGTGTCAGGAGAAAAGCTAGTTAATGTTGAAAGTTGATATCGTTCCTGTCTGACTTGCAGATGTCATGTGACACACTTTTATAACATGCTGTGTGATTGTTGTCTTTCCCCTGTCAATGAGTTTAATTTAACAGATAGTTTTTCCCTTCTCTTTTCAGAGACGAAGCGAAAGCGGATGAAATAGACAGTAACCTGACATCCTCCACCAGAGAAGGTGGGTAAATGATTCACACACTCTTATAAAAACAGTTATTCAGTGTAGTCGTGATTGTGTAAGAGCACACACTAAGCTGCTGCGGAGGCACATCAGCCAAGCAGCAATGCTGTGGTTTAGATGATTACAAAAGGGATTAGCCTGCACTTGTATTAAGCTCAAAACTTTGTCCTTTGGAGGCTCATAAACTGCTTGTCCTCTGGGCTTGTACATAGAAATGCTGAACCTGAATTCTCAGACTAATGCCTGGGATGTGGGCAGGAGGAAGGCCTCCCTCACTTTTTATGTTTGATATATGTTTGCACTAACAGTGCCATCTGAATTGATATATTGCTTATAGTCTTGGTGGAAAGAGCAATAAGCATTATGGCCTGACAACTCTACTATAGCCAGCTTTTCTTGAGGACAAGTCTGGCTCTGAGAATAAAGCATTTTTATAAAAGTGAAAAGGGTCCTGCACTGTAAATACCATGTGTTACAGATAAATGAAATATGATTACCATTCTGCACTACAGAAAAGAGGGCAAAATGCAACCATAAGTTTAATCAAACTAAAATGTGCTTTTACGGAAATTCTATGGGGACCTATTCATAAAGACACATTGCTCCATAGCGATACTGGCAATCAAACTCCACAGGAAACCTTAAATCGGGAACCTGAATGAAGAAATAGATCCTGTTTTTTCTGGCATTTTATGGGTTGCACTGTAGATTATTAGCAAATACATTGATGTTAGCTGTGAAAATATAATTGTCAACTGATCATTTTAGTTGCCAAACTTGTTTTTACACTTCCTTTATAAAGGGTTGGTTTGTCTGTTTGCTAAGAGAATGACTTCTCCTTCAGCATGGGTTGTTTCAGACTCGGACAGAAGGAAAGGCAATATCATTGTGACACTTATTTGGGGGCTTTAAATGCATAGTGTTTGCTTTAATTATGAATCACAAATAGCCTTGACACTACAGCACTTTCTTTGGAGCAAGAGGAATGTTTCAGTTGAGGCTGAAATAGGACAGTGGGCTTGCTGGGGCGTTTGTCAGTTTCTGTCACTGGGAACAAATCGTGGAACCACAGAAGTGTAATGGGACAGCAGGTTCTTGATCAATTCTGACAGGTTGACTAGCAGGGCAATATAAAAATCCCCAGTCACACAAATCTGAGACATGTGGAGAGAAACTGCAGTTTATGTTTATTAGAAAATGGATTTTGTGATTCTTGTTCCAGGGAGGTTTTTTTTTGTTTTTTGCATTTCCTTCACAATCACTGCTTTTTTTTTTTTTATGTGGACTTCTTGTAACTGCCATTACAAAGGGAAATACCTTTTGTTTCAGATATATACTTATGCACGATCAGCACATTCTTCACAAAATAACCATACATACTATGGGAAAGAGGAAAGTTAAAGTTTCCCGTAATTCAGTCCAGGCCATACAGATAAATGGTTGTGAAAGAGGAACTGAGCAAACAGGAAAATTCCCTGCATAGATTTTCCTTCCTTGTCTGGTATTAAAACTGAAGGTAAAGACAAGAAAGCTTCAAGCCGTTTTTGATTCTGTAAGGCTCAGTAGAGGGCCTAAGCAGTAAACGTATACACACTGAATAAAGAGTGTATAATATGGAGTGGTTTTCCAGTGCATGGAAAAAGATGCACGTGCGAACATGCATTCAACCTGCATCGTCTTGTCATAAGCTAGTACCTTGTACACCCACCTTCCTCACACATTGCTGCTAAACCACTGAACTCCACAGGAGTACACAGTAAAAGTACCAAGTGATGTTACATTTCAGGTCTCTCTCTGCACGTTCCCGTGCTTGCTTACTCCTTCACTCTCAGATCTCTCTTGTGCTTTCACTTTTTTTTCTAGTCACTACTTTAGTAGATTAGATTCCGATCCAATTTGCTGAGCTGGGTTGAACGCTGGCTTTGAAGCCGGGTCATGCCGCCATTCACTGTGGATTTCACACTACTAATTAACACGTCATAGGAAGGAAAACCATGGGTTTAATTGGTTGCATTATTTATGTCTGCCTTCCATTCAGCTGACTGATCTGCTTCTGGGACTTTCCTGTTGCAGCTTCATTGCGGGACATATACAGTATGTTCAGCTTGTTTGGAGTGGAAGCCTGCTGGGTGTTTTTCATTTCCACCTTGGGTTCTTGAGAGACAAGAAATGGTAAACGGCTGGATAAATAAAACACACACTAAACTGCAAGCTGACTGTCACAGGTTATTGTTGGAGGCTTGAATTTGCATACACAGTAGCATCATTTACATGAGAGTTATCATATCTTTGTGTAAGTTAGATTGCACTGTTGTGTCTTTGTTTTTCCCCGCTCTGGTTTGCCTTGACCTCCTTTCTTGTTGAAAGCACAGTTGTTATTCATACTTAGTCATGAGCAAAAATATTGGCACCACTGCCTTTCTGTCAGATAATGTACTGCTTCTCCCAGAACATTGTTGCAATCACAAATTCTTCTGGTATTCTCATGTTTATTTCTTTTGTCTGCATTGGAACAACACAAAAAAAGCAGAGAAAAAAGCAAAATCTGATCCATTCCACACAGAATTCCTAAAATGAACTGAACAGATCTTCTGACACCTTTTCAAAATCTTCAGAAATAGTTTATATCAAGCATGTGATGCTCCTTTAATTTTTAATGAAACTCACCTGTAGCAGTCAACAGGTGCTGGCAGTATTGAAATCACTTGCAGCCAGTTAAAATGGAGAAAACTTGACTCAACCTTTGTGTCGCATGGACCACACTGAACTTGGAGAAAAGGAAGGGTTTTATGTTGACCGGCTACTGTATTGTACAGGGTGGGCCACAGAAAAGTAGCCCATGAGAGCGTGGCACTGGTATTGGAGGCGGACTACTTTTCCATGGCCCACCCCGTAGCTTGCCTTGCACACAAGATTCTGGGATGTAGCTTGCACAGAAATTAAGGGCAATGTTAAGAATTGACATTTGACACCAGATTTTCTGATCCTCTGGTCAAAGTGTTGCTCTGAATTGTTGCTTTTTCCATGAACAGTTGCCTTAACATACCAGAATACAATGCAGCTACTGTACATTTTGAGTGACATCATTCATATGCTCACCAGTGTTCACACTGAACACACACACACACTTAAAAAGCTTTAAAACTGTTCTCAGTTTAAAGTGACTCTGCTGTTGTGTTGCAAATGACAAATTAAAGATAACAATGTACATGAGCGACTTCTCTTTAGACAACTCCTAAAGGCATTAGTTTCACTGGACTTTTATTGTCATATGGTCTATTTCTGGGAAGTCCTTTGATGGTTGTTAGCCCTGCCTATCAGCTTTATTGTTGAACTGCTACCTGAGGTTAACCACTGCTTGGCTGGAGATTCAGGCAAGTGCTAGTGTTTGAGAACTTCTTTTAGCTGCAGGTCATAGTTCACCTAGTAGTAATGAAGCTGCAGCACCACATGTACACAGATAACCCCATTACAGTGTAACTTTAACCCTAATCAGTAAAAGAAAGCTAGCACTGCCCCCTTGTGGTACACTTTTGTATTTAATTGTAATAGAATTGTAGTTGAATTCCTCCAGAATCAATGCAGTTATTGTAGGAACAGTAAGCAGGCTGTTTTTGTTTTGAGCATCACATATGTATGAATTTATGACTTGTGTGACATGAGGAATGAAAACCAAGACTGAAAATAGTCGACAGACTGTGCAGGGACGTGCAGTGTGATTATCATGTGCGCACTGCAGCACAGTGTCTCTTTTGTTGTCATTTTGCACCAAGTCAAATGAGGTTTGTGTGTGAAAAGAACAGACTGTGTTTCTTTTTACAGTATGAATCTCAAGTACTTGTCTTAATTAGAATCTAAAACGGGCGTTTTAAAGCCTTGAAGTTATGTAGTGGTTTTAGTCCCCACCAGATCACCTTCATGCAACATCTTCTGTTTACATGAATGTAATGTCTGGTTACATTTTTTTTTTTTCAACCTAGCAGGGTTATGCTATTCCCACTGACATTTACTGTAATCAGAGCCACATATCATGGTACTGTACATTTTAGGCCTGCTGTGATTACAGAGTGTGCGACTACCCTCCATGGCTGGGGAGGTAAATTGCTACCTACCTATCTACTGCCTTTTGCCTCAATAAAGCCTTTTATAGAGTGTAACTGCCATTTGAGACCACATCTCTGTGTTTGGCCACATTTAGAAACACCTCAGTCCAAAAGAGAAACTGGTTCAGAAACTTAGGAGTTTTGTTCAGCAAAGGCTTGAGGAAATGTTTCTTTGTCATGCTTTTTACTGACTGTGAAAGATTCACATACAGAACATAGAGTACAGTGCAGCTGCACAATGTGAAGGCAGAGGAGGGAGTTCTATTTAAATGTGCATTTTAAATAAAAGTTTTGTTTTGTCCAAGGGCATAGGTTTGGTCTCAACAGTGGTAGGGACAAGCCTTACCTGAAGCACTGAAACTGCACCTGTTTTCTAGTCTGTCCATAATGGTGGCTGATTTTGGTGACGGTACTAGCAGTGAAGTTACTGAATGGCCTC